CAGGTGTGTGTTACCTGTTTGACCTGACTCTACAGGTGTGTGTTACCTGTTTGACCTGACTCTGCAGGTGTCTCAGCTGCAGGTTCTGCTCCAGGTGTGTGTGTGTGTGATCTGCAATCTGCTGCAGCTCCTTCTGTTTGTCCTGCAGGAGGCGCTGCAGCTCGTCCACCTGAGCTGAGAGACCCCCCTCCGCCTCAGACAGCTCAATACCTAACACACACACACACACACACACACACACACACACAGTCCTCATAAGGTAGGTTAACCAGCCTTGTGAATTTGCATTTTAATCTCCGTCCGTGTGTATTTGCTCGTCTGTGTATCTCCATGGCAAAATTCAATCCCCTGGTTTCCATGGGGACCAGCTGTGTGCTTCAGAGAGCAGTTTCCATAGCAACCCCATCCCCTTCCCCCCATGATCTTCTCTGCCCCCCCCCCCCCCCCCCCCCCCCCCCCCCCCCCCCCCCCCCGACATCATCATCATCATCATCATCATGGCTGCTTGGTCCAAACTGTGAACCGACGTCTGATGGTGTTAGAGACTCCTGGAAACTCCTGGAGCGCAACACGCCCCAAAATGAAATCCAGGTAACCTTGAAGCACGTCAAGGACCACATGGGCCCTTTAAAGCATCTTTACCTCCTCTCTTTGTGAAACTGTCCAGTGTCACAGAGTTTGGAACCTTCTCAAGGACCTCCAGACACAGCTCACAAACTACACACAACCACTCAAGGACCCCTGGAATCCACAAAAACTTCTTTCAGTGTCCTGGAACCCTGTCAGCAACTCCTTGAATTCATTTAGTGACCAGTGGAAAACTACTACGGGGTTCTGGAACCTCTTCAAGGACCACTGGAATCCACAAAGATTTACTTCAGTGTCCTGGAACTCTGTCAGCAACTCCTTGAATCTACTTAGAAACAAATGGAAAACTATCAAGGGTCTCTGGAACCACTAAGGTTCCCTTAGTGTCCTGGAACCCCATCAGGGTCTCCTTGAATCTACTTAGGGTCCAGTGGAAAACTATCAAGGGGTTCTGTAACCTCTTCAAGGATCCCTGGAACCAACAAAAGTTCCTTCACTGTCCTGGAAACTGTCAGCAACTACTTGAATCCACTTAGTGACTAGTGGAAAACTATTAAGGGACCTTAAAACATCTTTAAAGACCACTGGAACCTTATGGGGGTCCATTAGAACTCCCTCAGTAATCACTCAGCCCCATTGAGGAACACTCAAAACCACCAGAGGGCCCCTGGAATCAACAAAAAAGACTCCAGAAACTTCCTTAAGTTCTTCCTTTGAGGGAATACCCTTATTATTAGGGGCCCCCAGAACCCCCTTTTGGAGCTGTGTCAAGGACCCCTGCAACTCCCCAAGGGACCTCTAGAACTCCCTTTGGAATTACCCAACAAAGCACCAGAAACCACTCAAAGATCCCTGGAACCCACGAAAAACTTCTGGAAATCCCTCAAGGTCCCAGATACTTTGTTAATGATAGAATTACCTGCAAGGACCATTGGGCAATCCTGGAGACTTCTAGGACCTCCCTTAACGTCCACTGAGAGCTCTTAAACACCATATGATCCCTCAAACTCCTCAAGAATGAGAAAGATGTAGAACCCAAAAAAGGTCCCCTGGAACACACTGAATGACACACTTAAATCCCTCAAGGCCCCTTGGATCCTGTCACGTCTGAGGTTACCTCCGGTTACCGGTGTGACAGTCCAATAGCTACAGGAAGCTCTTGTAGAACTGCTTCAAGAAGCAGTGCAGAACCATCAAGGATCTCTAGCATCTCCTTGAGAACTTCTGAAAACCTCTTCTGAAAGTCTCTCAAGGTCACCAGAGTTCTGTCAAGGGTTCCTGGGAATCCCCAAGGTAGTAGTGAAAGCCCTCCAAGGACCAGTTGAACATTTGGAGGCCTTTCAGTGACCACATGAACCCTGTGCTGATCTATCCCTCTGTTACCTTCGCAGACCTCAAAGTGGTCTCTGGGAACTCTCCAGGAACCCTTTTGATGGCCACTTGAAGTCCTCAATGGTCTTTAAGAGCCACCTGAAGGACCAGGCTACACTGGAACTCCCAAAAGGAGCTCTAAACACCCCTGGAGGCCCCCATGTAGCCCCCATCTGGTCTGTTGTGGTGTACCTCAGGGCTCTACGCTAGATCCTTGTCTTTTCTGTTATCTAAACCACCAGTTGGCCCCGTCATTCAGATTACTACGGATGTTTCCGTCAGTACTCAGTTACAGTGACAGTGTGACTCGTACCTGATGCCTGGACCTCGGTTATGTACTGCTGAAGGTCATGACCTTGTTGGATGACCTCATAGATCATGTTGTTCATGGCCAGCCGTCGCTCCATGTGCCTGCGGATGAATCAGTCACTTAGTCAAAGCCCAACATGGCCTCTGTTTTTTTTTTTTCTTTTTTTTGTCATGAGTCATGATGATGTCAGCATGCCAGCCTGTTTACCTGTGGATGCGCTGCTGTGCTAGCGTTAGCACCTCTGGGCTAGCCTCCACCAGCCGCGACTGGCCCAGTCCCAGCTTGTCCTGGGCAAGCTTATCCTGGTTTGCGTCTGGCATGCGCGGCGATGCTAGCTTCTCTGCAGAGAAGTCCTGGGACTGTTTCTGGAGGTCCTGCTTCCAGGCGTCCATTTCCCCCGTTACCTAGGAAACACACAAACGTTCACAGGGAATGGAACCTTGACGCTAAGGATGGAGGTGTAACATGTCGATTATTGATTATTGATCAGTTTACCTCCAGCGTGCACTGCTGCAGGATGCGTAGCTGCAGGTACACGTCCAGTCGGATCTTCCTCTGGTGGAAAAGTTCCTCAAGCTGAACGTGAGACTCCTCCAGCTGCTGCAGCACCGTCTCCACGTGAGCTACTGAGCTGCCCTGGGGCCTGAAACAAACGCACCTAAAGTGGTCAAACAAACCTGAAACCACGGGGACTTCAGAAACTGCAAAACAAACACACCCAAACTACAAAACAAACACACTAATAATAACACACACTGGCTCCATGCAGGCCTCTGAGCCGCCCTGATGAGTGAATCAAACACACCTGAGTTGGAGGATGAGGTCTTCTCCTTCCCGGATGACACTCATCGCAGCTTCCTGTGGGTCAGGGTTAGAGCTGGGGTTAGTGTGAGGTCAGAGGTCAGAGGTAAGGGGGGTGTTAGTGTGTTAGGCTGCAGGTCAGAGGTCAAAGGTCAGCAGGTACCTGTGTGTTGGCCTGTTGCTGCTGCTGCTGACTGATGAGAGACTGAAGAGACTCTACGGTGTCGGGACAAATACACGGGTCAGAGGTCAGCTGCTTCTGGAGACCCTCCATCCACACTGAGAGCTGAGGAGGAGGAGGAGGATGTAAGTTCCAGTTCCAGATGGTGGTGTCAGGTGTCAGTGGGAGGTGTCAGGTGTCAGAGGGTGGTGTCAGGTGTCAGTGGGAGGTGTCAGGTGTCAGTGGGAGATGTCAGGCATCAGAGGGTGGTGTTACGTGTCAGTGGGAGGTGTCAGGTGTCAGTGGGAGGTGTCAGGTGTCAGTGGGTGGTGTCAGGTGTCAGTGGGAGGTGTTAGGTGTCAGTGGGAGATGTCAGGCATCAGAGGGTGGTGTCAGGCGTCAGAGGGTGGTGTCAGGTGTCAGTGGGAGGTGTTAGGTGTCAGTGGGTGTTGTCAGGTGTCAGTGGGAGGTGTCAGGTGTCAGTGGGTGGTGTCAGGTGTCAGTGGGAGGTGTTAGGTGTCAGTGGGTGTTGTCAGGTGTCAGTGGGAGGTGTCAGGTGTCAGTGGGTGGTGTCAGGTGTCAGTGGGAGGTCTTAGGTGTCAGTGGGTGGTGTCAGGTGTCAGTGGGAGGTGTCAGCAGTGTGTGTTACCTCCTTGGTGTGGGTGTAGAAGGACACAGCCAGGTCCAGCAGCAGCTTCCTCTGCTCCACCCTCTGGATGAAGGCCTGCACACACAACACACGTTAACTTCCTGCAGCACTTCCTGTCTGTGCCCTTCACAATAAGAGCAGTGTACCTGCATGCGGAGCTCCAGGTCCCTGGCAGCCTGGTAGATCTCCTCCTCCTCACACTCTCCTGACTGAGCCAGCTGGTCGGCTGCTTCCAGGAGCTTCTCTGCGTTAGTGTACGTGTTCTGACACACACACACACACACACACACACACACACAGGTATCATTTATTCAACATGGCCGCTGCGGGGTGCGTCAGGTGATCCAGGTGTGGGCGGGGCTCATGTGTTTACCTGTGCCACCTGCTGGAAGTCGTCGTGGCGTTTCTGCAGCGCTCGCGCTCGGTGCAGAGACTTTCCCACCCCGCTGTGTTTGTTCAGGAAGACCTCACCATGCTGCTCCACCCAGTCCAACACCTGAGAGACAGACAGGTGGACAGGGAGGGAGAAACGGACAGGTGGAGAGGGACAGACAGGTGAAGAGAGAGACAGACAGGCTTTAGGCGTCCATGAGTCTGGACCTGAACCCTGACGTAGGTCTGAACTCGTCCTACCTGTCTCACATCCTGCTGAAACACACACAGCTGCAGGCGCTGGTGGAGGCGGAGCTTCCGGTGCTGCCACGCCACCTCCACCTCATGGTGTCCCTGCAACAACACAAAGACAACGTCACACCTGGCCACCTGTCTGTCTCTTGGCGATGTGTGACATGTGACCATGACACGTACCTGCATGACCTGGTGCAGAACTCCCATGATGCCGTGCGTGGCAGCTGTGAAGTCCGGTTTGGCCGTCGACTCCTCGGATTCGGTTGCCGGGCAACGCTGGAGGACGTCCAATAAGGCTTTCCCGCTCTCACTGACCTGCAGACAGACAGGTAGTCAGTCAGACAGACAGCTGGTCAGTCAGACAGACAGACGATTGGAGGGACAGACAGACAGGTACCTGGGTGTAGTTGGCAGAGATCTCCTCATTCAGCTCCTGGTGTTTCTTTGTTGCAGCCTCCAGCTCTGCTGTCGCCGACGGCAACGGGCCTTCAGAGCACGCCTGAACCCAACCTTCCACTTTGAGCAGGAACTGGACACACAGACAGACAGACAGACAGACAGGTGGAGAAGGTGGACGTGAGACAGGTGGGGACAGAAAGAGAGGTGGTGAGACAGGTTGGTATGTAGTGCTCCTCACCTGCTCTGCCCCCTGGTGGAAGCCGGTTGCCATGGCGAGCGTGTTGCTGCGCTCCTCCAGCGCCGTCGTCAGGGACTTCCAGTCTTCCTGAAGCCGCGACGACACCATGGCGATTCGCTCTGCCCCATAGTGACCGGCCTCTGCCAGCCTGGCTGCCACAGTAACCACGCTGTCCACGTTGACACTGCCGTTCTGCGGGGAGACGCATTGTTAAGGTTGTGTTTCACACAACAAACAAACAAACAAACAAGCAAACAATCACACTGACCATGCAGTTGGCGGTGAAGTGCTGGTGCTGTGTCTGGAGGTCGAGGGCATGCTGGTGGTTCTGCCCGACCTCCGCCAAACTCTGCACGAACAGTTCTTTACTGTGAGCGATCCACTCGGACATCTGAGATGGAGACAGTACAACAGTGTTTCTGTATCAGTGGTAGTATTTCAGTGAAAAACAGCTGCAGTAGTTCGGTTATCAGCTGTACTGGTTGTTTAGTGGTAATTGTACGTCAGTTAGCAGTAGTAGTAAAATTAAATATGACCTTGGTGGCATCCTGCTCAAACAGGTGCAGCTGCAGCGCCTGATCCAGGTGCAGCTTCCTGTCGCTCCAGCTCTGCAGCAGGTGAGTGCGAGCCGCCTGCAGCCGGTCCAGCAAAGACGAAACCTTTGGCGCAACACTCTGGAAGTCTGCTCCGCCCGACAGCCAGCTGCCGTGACTACCACCGCCGCCACCACTGCCTTCAGTGGAGGTGTCACTGTGGGAGGGGCCCAGGCGCATGCGCTGGAGCAAGCTCCGTCCCTCTCGCTCGAGGGCGTCGACTGGTGCCGTGGCGATGGTGTTACGAAGACGGCCATGTTCCTCCAGAAGTCTGGAACGGGAAAGAATTACTCCATAAACAAAAACATCTTTATAAAAGCAGTGGTTCATAGTTATTGAACACTTTGGAACTCACTTGCGGGCCTCGTCCACATCCTGGGGCTCCGGTATGCGGTTCAGCCCGGCCTCCAGCTGCTCCAGCTGGGCCAGCAGCTGTGTGGCGGCCCCCATGAACTCCTCCAGACCCAGACGCAGCTCGGTCCATTCGACATGGTCGTACTCCAATGAACCGCCGAGGTCAGAGGTCAGCTGGGAGGGATCGACGAGCCGGGACAGACCCTCCACTGACACCAGGCTGGTCTGAAGAGACAGTCGGGTATGTTCAATAAGCAGCAATAGTGTTAACCTCAGTTAGCAGCAGTAGAACTATTCATATCAGCAGTAGCACTGTAAAAGCACTGGTAGGTCTCTGGTAGCACTTTAGTTAGCAGTAGTATTGCAGTTGTGAGAAGTAGTACTGCAGTAGTACCTCGAAGCTGAGCTTGGCGCTGCCCAGGTTGGTCTTGTGTTTCTGCCAGAAGGTGTCTGGTTTGATGAGCAGCGCCGTGTGGATGTTGGAGGAAAACGACTCCTGCAGCGTCCGTAGAACCGGTTTGACGCTGTCCCACTTACTGCCGCGCATGTCCACCACCACGGTGAAGCCACGAGCACGCACATCCTCACTGACAGACAGACAGACAGACAGAGGGGTTAACAGGGGAGACAGGCCAAGGAGGAGACAGGAGGAGAGGCCGACAGATACACAGACCAAGGGAGTGTTACCTGGGTATGGTCGCCAGGTAAGTGACCAATCGGCTGAGGTCTTCTTGTTTTATTCGATCGTGATTGGTCCTGGCAGGGAAGGTCAGGATTGGTCCACCACGTTTGTCCCGTCCACCTGTAAAACACACTGAGTTAAACCGGGTCACATCAGGACCAGACTGGACCAGACTGGGCTAAAATCTGCAGGTGCGTGTTTTACCTGACACGAAGGCCACTTTCTCTCTGAGCACTGTCAGGACGTCGACCGCCCGAACGCACTCTGCTTTACCAGAACCTGAAAGATGAAACAGATGGAGATGTCTGTTAGCTGGTGGATGTGTTTGTCAGTTAGCAGTAGCGCTTTGGTTAGCGACAGTAGCAGTGTTTCAGTTAGCAGCAGTGCTTTGATTAGCGACAGTTTTGTGGTCCTGCTAACGTGACTTAATGAACTGAGTCCCTCTGCTTGCTCTCTGCTGTTAGTGTTCATCATCACTTCCTGTCAGACGTCTTTCTCGCTGTAATTTCTGAACCTGTGTTATTAACACTTAGAAACACCCAGCAGGCCACAGCAAAGTAGCTCCGCCCACTGCAAACCAGCCAATCAGGCGTCACAGAGAGACGCTGACAGACATTTCAATTAGAAAGCTGACTCCTGCGGCTCAGTGTGTGTGTGTGTGTGTGTGTGTGTGTGTGTGTGTGTGTCACAGATCATCCTGCACAGCGGGAGGAAGCTAATCCAACACACACACACACACACACTGAGGGCATTAAACGTCTCACATTAGCAGCTCGACGAGCGGCGCTAACCCTTAGAGAGAGAACCTAAAAACAGGAAGCAGCCTAAACCGTCTCCTTCCTCTGTCCTCTGTCTCCTTCACTAGTGTCCTTGAATCCTCCCTCTGGACCAATCAGCCTCCTCAAAGCCCACTGTGACCCTCCACACTCACACTGAGTGTTTGTTTCACAATAAAAGCCCCTCAGTTGCCGTCAGCGTTAACTCATCCACTGATTCTATGTCTGAATATAACGCTGTATTTTATTTAACTGCTTTTATTGCGTGATGCTATTTTTATCACGTCTTTTAAAGCTACAGTAATGATTCTGGTGTCATCTGAAACTAAAAGACCTGAATCCACGTTATTTGGAAAAACAAAAATAAAATGTTCAAAAAAATGTTGACAAAATATCTGGAAAAAAATATAAAATACTTGAAAAATATTATTGAAATCTTAGAAATTCCTGTAAAAAAAAAACCCCAATGTTGATAAAACGTTCAAAAAATCTGAATTTTTTTTTTTTTTTTAATAAAATTTCCAAAGAAAATTGTAAAATTTTTGAAAAATATAAATCATCAGAACATGTAGCTTCTCGGGCAGAGGGCTTATCAACGCTCCTTACTTAAAGTCTAAATTTTGGGAAAAACAGCATGGCTGTTTTCACCTTGGTTCATTTGACCTCTGACCTTCAGATATCTGAATAAAAATAGGTTCTGTGTCTCTGACGTGTTCTGTTGACCTGATGTCCCCCCACACACAGACACTATCTGTGGCTCTCAGAGGATTAACTGCGTCCTCATGAAGTCAGTTTCCCTCGTTTAAACACAAACTACCATCTTTCCTGAACCGACGCACATTCGTGCCTGAACTACTCGCAGCTCCACCCACCCATCCGACATCCCGTCGACGCCCTGCAGCACGACGACTCAGCACATGGACACAATACGTCCCCTCAGCTGGTCAGACGGACGTGGAGTCGGTGCACTTCCTGCTGCTGACAGCGTTTCCTGTCAGCGAGTTGAGGCCACTGATCTCTGCTCACATTGGCCCGTCTCGCCCGTGACGACCATAACGGGAACGACATCCCTCAGATGTGAGCTGAGTGTGGGCCGACCTGGGGTTAATACGGAGCAGGAGCCGACAGCCCGCCGCACTAATGAGGTGCTGGTGGGTGTTTGTGGGCTGTAAACACGACGCCGTGTGAGTCCAGCAGTGAGCACACGCCGCTACACGGTGTCAGGGAATCTGACTGATCCTCCATCAGCCGGCTGATCCCAGACCTGCTGTCGATCAAGGTGACCAGCACAGAGGAGGAGGGATTTCCATCACACACACACACACACACACACACACTGAGTCAGTGTATAAATCCTAAAATAGCTGCACATGAAAAGCCTTCAGAGAAACTTGCTGTCAGTCTGTCAGGACTCATCACAGACGTTACGCAACAAACACTAATGAACACATCTCGCCACGGCGTCCTCCCGGTCTCCAACATGTCAGCCTCGTAGAGACAAAGACGTTCAGTCGCACTCTCGTTATGTCCACCAGAAACTAACAAACATCCATGTCTGTCCATCCATCAAGAGTCCAAGTTCTCCAGCTGCTTCACTGTACCATCTACTGTAGCTCCTTCACAATAAAAGCTCTCACGTTGCTTCACTGTACCATCTCCCAAGCTGCCTCATAGTAAAGGCCTCCTGATGAAGAATATGAAGGAAATGCCAGAAAATACCTACGCAGTGTCAAAGGAGTGTTGATAATATGTTGAAATGTTGAAAAAAAAAAATCTTAAAAAAATACCAGGGGAAAAATTTTTTGATAAAATGCCCAAAAAGCATGATTTAAATGTCAGAAAAACTGTTAATAAAATGCCTGAAAAAGAATTATTATTTAAATTTAAAAAAAAAAAAGGTAAAATAAAATGTTCAAAAAATGTTAATAAAATGACTGAAAAATACTATTTAAATGTCAGAAAAAAATATTGAGAAAATGTCTAAAAAACATGAATAAATTTTAGGGAAATAAATGTTAATAAAATGCAAGAAAAGGTTTATAAAACGTCTGAAAAAAAAAAAGTTATTTAAACGTCAAAGAAATGTAGATTAAATGTCCAAAAATAATTATTGAAATGTCAGAAAAAACATTTGATAAAATGTCCAAAAAGTACACACATGTATATATATATATATACATACATATAAAAACAACTGAACAAACGTGAATTAATTCAAATGACCAAAATGCTGCCATCACAGAGACCAAACGGGAGCCGAACGCCCACTTTACCTGGCCGGTAGCCCAGCCTCACCTGTACGCATCATGGCTCTCATACCATGGTCACTGTCTGTCTCCATCCTCCATGTTTGTAGTCAGGTCAAACCATCGTGAGAGTAGTGTCCTGTAATCATACTCGACCCGCCAACATTGAAACGTCCAGTTATTCCACAGCTGTCCCAAAGTTTGTCAGTGATCAGTCAGTGTTTGATTATTAGAATCTGATGAAATGCCTGAAAGAATATTTATTAAGTGTCCGAAAAAATGTTGATAAAATGTAAAAAAAATATATATATCAAAATGTCCAAAATATTATTTTTGAAATGTCAGAAAAATGTTGATAAAACATAATTTATGTATATATATATATATATACACACATATATTTATAAAGTGCCTGTAAAAAATGTTGATAAAATGTCCAAAAAATATCAGAAAAATATCAGAAAAAAATCTTAATAAAATAGTAATATCTATATAGATCTATATAGATATAGATATAACCCACTGCTCTTTACGTTGTCTTCTCGACATAGATTTAGAGCTGCTGTAAGCAAACTGTTGTCAGGTGGTGTAAAGACCCTCAGAGATCCTGAGCTACAACACGTGTGTTTAGAAAGACATTTTCCATCCTTGTCTTTAAAAGATGAGCTTCGCTCAGGTGAACCTGGGGTGGTCACAGAGCTGCTCAGGTGAACCTGGGGTGGTCACAGAGCTGCTCAGGTGTCTGTTACATCAGTCACTGTCATGTTCTCCCAGCTGCACTCTTCCGTCCCTGCAGGTCAATATTTAGCACAGCAAAAAATCACGTGTCACCTCTTTTATAGTAAACAAACTGGTTAGAATTCCTTCAGCAGCTGAATGACCCCAGGAAACACTCTGAGGAACAAGTGTTACGTTAAAAAAGTCAGTCAGTGTTTGGTTTGTCTGCTCTGGGCTACTGTAGAAACATGGCGGTGCAACGTGGCGGTCTCTGTCAAAAAACAACAATGAATGAAGCAGTTTCATATTTTAAAAAAAGTATTTTTGAGATGCTGCCGTTGAGAAAACGCTGCTGACTACGGTGGCTGATGAATAAACGCAAATGTCCCTATCTAGACTCAGAGTCTGGTTTGTCCGTTCTGGGCTACTGTAGAAACATGGCGGTCTCCGTAGACGAGGACCCGCTGCTGATGTAAATACAAACGTCTCGTTCTGAGGTGACGGAAACACAGCTGATCACACACCAGCGCATCGTACACACTGGACCTTTAAGGACCTTTGGACGCCTGGTTTGGTTGGTTCCACCGGTTCAGCACTGCATGAAGCGTCGGTGCTGTTGCCATGGTTACCTGCGGGTTAACATACGGCAGGTGATGCTGGTGGTCCCAAAGACGGTGTTTAATAAACGCCTACCAGCCAATCAGAGAGCAGATCCTGGCGTATGAATACGACTGATAACACGACCCGTGCTGGAATGAATGGAACATGAAAGCGTCACATGACCAGCGGCCTGTGTTACCTATCAGCTGCCATGTTACTACACACATTACATCACACACACACACACACAGACACACACACACACTGATAACCAGTGGGCCTTCCCACAATCCTCCTTGGTAGGACCCTCCACCCCCAACACACACACACACACACACACACACACACACACCCCAGCGGACAGAGGGGATGCTGACACACACACATTCATAGCCTACACGCGCGCGCACACGCGCATTCTCTGAGTCAATGGGCGGATGTGGAGGCATCATGGCGACAGCAGCTCCCACTACACACTCACGCACACACGCGCGCGCACACACACACACACACCCTACCTGCCGTCGCCAGGCCGTCCGGGCCCGCTTCTCCTCCTCCATCCACCGAATTCATCCTCCCTCCTCCTCGCGCTGCTCCTCCGCCTGGCGCCTCCCTCCTCCTCCTCCTCCTCCTCCTCCTCCTCCTCGCGCTCTCTCCTCCGTTATGTACCGTCGCTCGCTCCGCTCCTCGCGCCTCCTCCCTGCCTACCCGTCCATCCCTGCGGCTTTACATCAGATCACCGGGCACCGTTGGACGGACGGATGTGTTCCCCTCCTCCTCCCGGTACCGATCAGTCCGTCACTGCTGCATCCTCCTCGGCTGAGCCTCGACAGTCCTGCTCCTCCTCTCCTCCTCCTCCTTCTCCTCCTCCTCCTCCGCTACTGCTGCTGCTGCTGTTCTTACGTTACCGTGATCCCGCGCGGCATCGCATCACATCACGTCACCGTTACTGCCGCCGCCGCCGCCGCCGCTCTCGTTATCGTTACCGTGAAGTTCCCAGCAGCCCCGGTGGCTCTCTGTGCTGCTGCCGGTCCAGGCAGCGGACGGTCGGTCGCTCGGTGTGTTTCAGCACGCAGGCGCACCGGAGAGAAGGAGAGGGGCGCTGTGCACGAGGGCTGCAGCAGCTGCTGCACCGATACACACACACACACACACACACACACACACACACACACCGCCTCTCTCTGTTACGATTTACGGTGCCGTCGATACCGGAACTGTGAACACAGGTCCAGGTGATATTAACACAGGTCCAGGTCACATTAACACAGGTCCAGGTCACATTAACACAGGTCCAGGTCACATTAACACAGGTCCAGATGATATTAACACAGGTCCAGGTCACATTAACACAGGTCCAGGTGATATTAACACAGGTCCAGGTGATATTAACACAGGTCCAGGTGATATTAACACAGGTCCAGGTGATATTAACACAGGTCCAGGTGATATTAACACAGGTCCAGGTGATATTAACACAGGTCCAGGTGATATTAACACAGGTCCAGGTGATATTAACACAGGTCCAGGTGATATTAACACAGGTCCAGGTGATATTAACACAGGTCCAGGTGATATTAACACAGGTCCAGGTGATATTAACACAGGTCCAGGTGATATTAACACAGGTCCAGGTGATATTAACACAGGTCCAGGTGATATTAACACAGGTCCAGGTGATATTAACACAGGTCCAGGTGATATTAACACAGGTCCAGGTGATATTAACACAGGTCCAGGTGATATTAACACAGGTCCAGGTGATATTAACACAGGTCCAGGTGATATTAACACAGGTCCAGGTGATATTAACACAGGTCCAGGTGATATTAACACAGGTCCAGGTGATATTAACACAGGTCCAGGTGATATTAACACAGGTCCAGGTGATATTAACACAGGTCCAGGTGATATTAACACAGGTCCAGGTGATATTAACACAGGTCCAGGTGATATTAACACAGGTCCAGGTGATATTAACACAGGTCCAGGTGATATTAACACAGGTCCAGGTGATATTAACACAGGTCCAGGTGATATTAACACAGGTCCAGGTGATATTAACACAGGTCCAGGTGATATTAACACAGGTCCAGGTGATATTAACACAGGTCCAGGTGATATTAACACAGGTCCAGGTGATATTAACACAGGTCCAGGTGATATTAACACAGGTCCAGGTGATATTAACACAGGTCCAGGTGATATTAACACAGGTCCAGGTGATATTAACACAGGTCCAGGTGATATTAACACAGGTCCAGGTGATATTAACACAGGTCCAGGTGATATTAACACAGGTCCAGGTGATATTAACACAGGTCCAGGTGATATTAACACAGGTCCAGGTGATATTAACACAGGTCCAGGTGATATTAACACAGGTCCAGGTGATATTAACACAGGTCCAGGTGATATTAACACAGGTCCAGGTGATATTAACACAGGTCCAGGTCACATTAACACAGGTCCAGGTGATATTAACACAGGTCCAGGTCACATTAACACAGGTCCAGGTCACATTAACACAGGTCCAGGTGATATTAACATTCTGTTTCTTTGTTTTCATTCATTATTTTTCGGTTTATTTTTTTATATATATTTTTTAAATTTTATTTTACTTCATTTTATTTTTATTCATTTTTTCTGTTTTTCATTGTTGTTAGTCTGTAATTTCAGTATCATTTTTATTTATTTTATTATGTTTTATTTTTTAATTTAGTGTTTATTTATATTGATTTAGTGTATTGTATTTCGTGTTATATATTTTTACTTTCATTTTATATTCATCTCTTTATGTTTACACGTATATTCATATTATATATAATAAACAATAATAACAATGCCAATAACAATAAATTCTTAAAAGTAAACTGATCACAATAAGTAAAAGAAGAAAACAGCACCCAAATAAAAATTTATAAAGTCAGCAAGTGCCAAAAATAACTACACATATGTAGAAAGTAAATGAAGGAAGTGCTGCGTGGATCTTCAGGTAAAACCAGTAAAACAGGTGCTCTTTGGTGAGGGTGCAAAGCAGCTTCAGAAAATGTATCATGTTGAGTCCTTGCACATACCAAAAAAGGAAGCAGTCAGAGTTAAATGCAGGACAGTAACTTGAAAAACCAAAGCAGCTCTGTTTTAGAAAAAAGTTAAAAAGCCTTTATTGTGGCATGGCTGGTACAAAGTTAAAAACAGTGTTTCAGCTCCTCAAATGAGCCTTCATCAGGGTTGAGGTCCAAACAGTCTGAACACAAGTATATAATACATACTGACAATGTGACATCAATTAGTGATTAGAACATGGGGCACACCTGTGTCTTGCAGGTCTCTTTGCACTTGCCAAGCAGCAAGCATGAGGACATCTCCAGCACCTCCACCACCCACTCCTCTGATTTTGTAGACCAGCACACAGCAGGCCTCAGAAAACAAGGAAGACAAGGAGGGCCCAGAGGATGAAACCTCAGGCGCCCACACACTCAGCAAGTGAATTTAAAACAAAGGTGGACTTGTTTAGGTTCTACAGAAACCTCCATTTAAAGGTTTGGTCTAGCCAAAATTCCACAGTACTACGTCCAGAGCCTCACCTGACTCAGAGCAGTCCACAGCCACCAGCCCCTCAGACCCAAATCTACTATTTCCCCATCAACAACAATCACGAGGAGTGAACATCAAGCTTTACAATGGCTTCAGGACCAGGATGACCAGTTGGTGATAAAGATGGCTGACAAGGGAGGTGCCACAGTTGTCTGGGGTACGGAATAATATATTAAAGAGGCTCTACGCCAACTGAACAACTGGTCTACTACCTGCCTTTAACCTCCAACCCCTTGGTCACTATGAGACAGGAACTGAAAGAGCTGGTGGGCAATGCTAAGAAGGAAAATGGATAACAGAAAAGGAACATAATTTTCTAATAGCAGAAAGTCCTTGGTCTGGAGGCACTTAAACACTACCTTCAGCAATGACCTGAACACAGCATGCCCCCTAGTGGCTTCATTGTCACACTGACTGAATGGACACTCAAAAGTAATGTACTTCTCTTTCAGGAGAAGCTCTTCAGGCAGCAAAAGGGGACTGCCTGCCATGGGAGGAGTCGCTTATGTCCCAAGCTATGCTGGACTCTTTCTTGGCTTATGGGAAGGGAGACACATTTACAGTGAAGCCAGTCCCTTTCTGGACAAGATAATATGGTACAGCAGATACACTGATGATTTATTCATGATCTTCAGCGGCACTGAACAAGAGCTTCTGGACTTTGATAAGTACATTAACTCAACCAATGACAATCTCAAGTTCAGCATAGATTATAGTAAATCACAATTACACTTTCTGGATTTGAAGATTTTCAAAGATCTCAATGTTCTGTGTTCACACATCAATTTTTAAAAAAAACACTGATCGCAACACGATCTTCAGGGCTGATAGCTTCCGCCCCTTCAGCCTCATCGCTAACATCCCCTTTGGACAGCTCCAGAGGTTGAGGCGAATTTGCGACCAAGAGGATGATTTTGATCTACAAGCCAGTGACATGCTACAAAGATTTAAATATAGAGGTTACAGTACTAATGTCCTCAGCCGCGCACATGTCAAAGCTAAATGCACTGAAAGGAGAACCCTTTTCCAGAAGGTTCAGCTTCCTCTCCATACTAATAACTTTCTCACAGTCCCTTATAGTAAACGGTGTTCTCTTACAGCCCAGTCACCAAAAGAAAATGTTGGCATTGTACGTTTCTGCAAACCACTAACATGCTACACCTGCACACTTCATATGAATCATAACGTGTTTCTCAAGTGACGTAGTGTATCAGCTGACTTTGCCTTTAAGGCGCCAAACATAGTTGCTTTTTAGTGACCCATCGCTGTTCTTCCTGCCAGGATGGTGGCACAAAACGTGGAAGTTTTTCTACAGAGACTTCACTGCTTTTCCAGCAGGGATTATGCCCCTTGAAACCAGGTGTTTTAAACCCAAACGTAATCTTTTCCTCATCATAAACAAGTGCTTTTTGTGTCTAACCCTAACAACACTTTCACAGCAGCGCTGTTGGAACATAAAGTTTCAGTGTATCTGCTACATAATAAAACGCAAATGTAACCTAACTTTCGTTTTCACAAACTAACAATGCCACATTGTTTTTCTGGCAGTTGGGTTGTCTCTTACAATGATGGCAGCTCAGGATACACTTCCACTACAAAAAAGTCTTCATTCAGACCTGGAAAGGTGGTCGCTCTCAGAGTAACTATCCAGAAGGTTTCTCACTGAAGAAGACGTTTAAGTCTGTCCCCTCCTCGGACAGACTTGTTGATGACCTCACTGAGTTACAGTTTGTGTGTCCAGCAGCTTTGAAATGATTGGCCATGGGATAGTTAGGACTGTTAGTACGTATAGCATATTTATGTTCAGCCAGTCTATCCTTAAGCCTACGTTTCGTCCGTCCAATATAAAAGCAGCCACACTCACATTCAAGTCTATAAACCACATACGCAGTATTACAGTTGGCAAAGCTTTTAAAATGGCAGATTTTTTCACAGAAGACATGCTGCCACACCTGAAGTTGTCGACTGGACGTTGCAGCCAGGGGGAAACTGAGGGGGTGGAGGGCGGATGGCTCCGACCCAACTTGTCCCAGAGTGTGGGGGCCAAGCTGGAGGATCAGGAAAGACAGCTGTCAAGACAGGCTCACTATGCAAAATGGACCAGTTCTTTTTAAAGATGTTTTTGATCTTGTGAGACACAGTGCTGTATTGAGTGCTGAAACATATCTTTTCTGTAGGGGCTGGACGAGAACATTGACTTCTCTCTGTTCCTATGAGTTCATGGCAGATGGTTCTGTACTCTGCCCAGTTAGTCTGGCTCCATCTAGTGTTTCATTTATTGTGAGGTTGATTTTATAAACTACATTGTTCTTCATAGGGCTTCTGTAAAGTTCCTCTTTTATGCTCCTTGTGGTCTTTTTGTTACCTGAGTATCCTCCCTCTGTAAACTATGAGTATTCTCTTCTTTTGGTCCACAGTTGGCATCGCCCTTGGAGGGCTCTGTTCTCTCCTAGGACTCTCTCTGGACATCGCCTCCACACACTGCTTCCAGTTAATTCCTAAGTTTTTCTCATTTTTTCTCTATTTTCAGTGTTAATACTACTTTTTGTTTTACTTTATTGGGTACCCAATCATTGTTGCTATGATTATTTTGTTTTCTGCAAGACACAGGTGTGCCCCATGTTCTAATCACTAATTGATGTCACATTGTCAGTATGTATTATATACTTGTGTTCAGACTGTTTGGACCTCAACCCTGATGAAGGCTCATTTGAGGAGCTATATGTGCAAGGATTCAACTTGATACATTTTTTAATATAATTTAATTCAAGTGTCATAAGTACAGTACTGACTGTATGAAAACGGGAAGGAAACTGAAAGTAATGTGTCATTAAATCATATTAATGAGCAAAGATAATAAATCATTTGGAAAGTTTAGTTTAAAATAGAAAATAACGTGGATAGAGACATTTTAATAACAGCGTCTTGAATTCAAAGTGAATGAAAGTGAAGGTCCACAGCGCCACCCAGAGGCCAGATCAACACACAGCAGCCTGAACAACACCACAGAGCTTTATGATCCTGAATAAGGCTGTTTGCACTTTTATTATATTAATATTTAATTTGATTATGATACGACACTGCAGGTTTCAGCTGCTCCACCGGAAATCATCTGTTTGTTACCTGAGCATTTCCTCTCATTTACAGTCCCTGTTTAATCATCTGCATCACATGTAGGCTGCGTGTTTCCGTTTATTGATTTTTAATGCAGTTTTCAATGTTAATGAATCAGATTTTGTGTCATTGTTTATTTATTTGTTTATTTATGTGCTTTTTAAAACAGATAAATAAATTTATTGACTTCCGGTGATCCTTTGGTGCAGGGGGATGCGCCGTCGCAGCGTGATGACGTCACGTCACCGTAGAAACAGAAGAGCGTCCGCTTCCTCCTAGCTAGCTAACAGCTAACTGTGCTAACCAGCCGGAGCGCGTTGTCTGCGCGGCTCCGCGGCGTTTTCTGAAAACGTTTCTTAAACCGTGACCGAGTCGACGTGACCACGACCGTTAAACCGCCTCTTTTATTAACTAACACGAACACTTAGCAGTTAGCTAGCTAACACGCTTAAACAAGGCTAACCGGCGGTAGCGCTGACAGGTGCTATCTTAGCTGTGACCTCATCAGAGTCTGAGAACATCGGCAGGTGAGCCACACACACACACGCACACGCACACACACGGGCTGTGGAGTGAGCCACACGGAGGGGACACTTGTGGGAAGCTGTGGCTTAAATCGTGCTTTTTCTGAATGGAGTCTGGTGTGAGTGATGTCAGAAGAGTTCCCCCTGCTCAGTGATGCACAGAGGCGGAAGTAGATCCTTTCATTGAGTACAGGGAACAAATAGGACGCCGTTGTTTAAATCGTGTGATTTCTGAATGGAGTCTGGTGTGAGTGATGTCAGAGGAGTTTCTCCTCTCCTGATAACCTGTCTGTGTTCACAGTGAGGATGAAGCCGATGGAGGAGGAGGAGGAGGAGGCTGTGGTGGCAGAGCTGAGGAGGCAGCTGGAGGATGAAGAGCGGAGCCCGGAGCAGAAGGTCATCCTGCTGAACCACGGCTTAAACAGTGGGTGTCTGCATGTCAGGGCTGAGTGACGACCATCTTGTTTCCAACCACAAACATGATGAGTTATGCTTGTGTCTGTCTGTCTGTCTGTCTGTCTGTCAGAGGCTCTGAACTCGGCGGCGCTGCAGACAGACAGCCGTGTGTTGACTCGTGTGAAGTCTCAGTTGTATCTGAGCGGTGTCCTGAGTCACTGCGTCCTCCTCCTCACTCTGGGGCCCAGAGGGCTGCAGGGCAACTGGGGCGCCGCCGCCACACTCGCCCAGTTCACCAGGTACCACAGTGGTCATTGACTGGAGACTCAGCTGGACTAAACATTTTCCACTGATTGCAAACACAAGTCTTCAAAAACATAATTCATTTAAAATTATTTAAATTGATTTTAAATTATTTGTACTGTCTTTAGTTTCATTACAGAACTGTGAAAGTATTATTATTTTAAATATTCAAATGTTTTGACAGTGTTTGACATACTTTTAAGTATTTTGATATTTTTTGAAAAATGTCCCAGTATTTTAAATTAGTTATAATTTTACAAAGGTTTACATTTTTTTGTCTTTAAATGTATTATATTTTAATGTAACAGGTCCTTTTTAGTCTTTAAGTTGTATTTTAAATAATTTTAAATAATTTTACACTTTTGAAAATGTCACAATTCATTAAAAAAACTGCAATATTTTAACAAATATTGCAGTTTTTTACGTTCAGTAAAGATTTTAATTGATAAACATTTGAAATATATAATTTTGTATTTAAAATTTATAGAAATTAATTTTTCATTTTCAAAAATATTTAAAATAATGAAACAAGTGTTCTTTTAACATTTGGCAAAACTGACAAAAACGTTCTTGAAAACCGTCAATGTCTTTTTTTACATTTTCTTATGATGAGAAAATAAAATAAAAATTAAAATATTTTGACAGTCCTTTTTGTTATTTTCAGTATATTGATTTATCTAAAATATAAAGAATATTTAAAAATGTTTTTACGTTTTAAATCAGTAATTTTTTTGACGAAGATTTACATGTTTTATTTTTATTTTCTGGATTTTGAACCTTTTACATTTATTTAAATTTATTATATTTTACTGTAACAGGTCCTTTTTAGTCTTTTATGTTATATTTTAAATAATTTTAAATATTTTACATTTTTGAAAATGTCATGATTCATTAAAAAAAAGTAATTTTTTATTTTTATCAGAATTTAAATGAACATTATTCTGAACATTTTTCAGTGCTTTAAATCTAATACATTTTAAATTAAAGTATTTGTAGAAAATAAATATTTTAAAAATATTTTTGAGTGTTTTAAGTTTTTAAATTGTATTTTAAGACATTTTGAATGATTTTTAAGATATTACACTTCTGACAATGTGTTTTTATGTTTTAAATAATTCATTAAAATAGTTAACATTTTAAAAAATATTACATTTAAGTTTAGTAAAAAAATTTTGAATTAGTCCTAATTTTGCCGTTAAAAACATGTTTTAAGTTAATTTAGTCAATTAAACATTTTAAACGATTGAAAACATTTTTAATATTTGAATATTTTAAATTGTTCTATTTATTGTTGCAGTTTAATGGACTGTATTTGAAATGATTCATGTTTTTGGATATTTTACATTTTGAAAGATTTTTCATAAACAAACAAACAAACAAACAAACAAACACTTGTGTCTGGGTCGACTTTGCACAGTGGACTGAAGGTGTTCATGTGCGCTCTGTTTACCTGTCCGTGTGTCCAGTTCCTGTTGTGTGGGGGCGGAGCCTGCTGATCAGTTGCAGGCCTATCACAGGCTGTTCCTGCCGTCTGTCGTGGACGGCCTCCTGTCATTGGCCAGTCAGCTGATGAGGCGGGCAGAGGTGAGACGCCGTGTCTTCAAAACCACAACGTATCAGTGCAGTGTTGAAGGTCTGGAGTCAACCTGTGTATGTGTGTGTGTGTGTGTGTGTGTGTGTGTGTGTGTGTGTGTGTGTCCTTCAGTGCCTGTCTCTCCTCAGGAAGGTGATGGATTCAGTGTGTTGGCTGCTCCGAGCTCACACTCAGCTCACAGTTCAGGGTCAGTCTGCGTCTGTTGATTCAAACTTGGTGAATTTCCGTGTGTGTGCTGACACTGCAGAGTGTGTATCTACAGCCTGATGTCTCCATCCCACACACACAAACACTGTCCACCTGTCTGTGTCCACCTGTCTGTCCACCTGTCTGTCCAGTTCTCAGCTCCCTGCACTATGAGCAGATCCAGATGTGCGATGATGTCAGCGTGTCTCTGCTCTGTGTCCAGATGTGGATCCAAACCTGCACAGCCAGCAGGTAACACACACACACACACACACACACACACACACACAGACCGATAATAATGGGAACAAAATCTGAAATATTCTGTCAGATTTAAAACTGTTGTTGTTTTGTTTTATTTTAATTTTCTCTGTTTTTGTTTGTTTGTTTGTTTGTTTTAATTATCTGTACTGTTCCAGGTTGGAGGTGAAGCTGTCTCTCTCTCTCTCTGTCTCTCTGTCTCTGCAGGGACTTCCTGTCCGGGCTGAGCGACCACTCCGTCCTGTTGCTCCTTAACGAGGCCGTCGGCCAATTAGCAGTCAACGCTGACCCCTCGGTGGGCGGGGCCTCTGTCAGACTGATCCTCCTCATGGCCAGTCAGCAGGAGGCGCGGCTGCAGCCCCTCCTCCTCAGCTTCAGAGGTCAGAGGTCACATTAATGACATCAGTAACCTCTGGGTCACATGTAGCGAGGGTCAAAGGTCACGCTGTCTCTGTAGGTCTGGACAGCCTACTGGACAAAGACTGGAGGGGGCGGGGCTTTGACCAGGACGTGGATCAGCTGATCGCACTCATCCAGTCTGACTCGAGGAGTCGGCCCCAGGTCTGTCCGTCCGTCTGTCTATCGCAGGATGTAAAGCACCTGGTCTACCTGCCGACCTCTGACCCCTCCCCTCTGTGTGCAGGTGTGTGCTGACCGTGTGCGGGCGGCGTGTGTGATCCAGGCGGCGTGGAGGTCGTATCAGACCAGACGCAGAGTGAAGAGCCTGAACAGAGCCGTTAGTACGCTGCAGAGGAGATACAGGTCGCTGTCTGTCTGTCTGTCTGTCTGTCATGTCTTTATGTGGTGACGTTTAACAGCGCACTGTGTGTGTGTGTGTGTGTGTGTGTGTGTGTGTGTGTGTGTGTCAGGGCGCGGAGGAGGCAGCAGCAGCAACAGAAGGAGGCGCAGCGATGGGAGGAGGAGCTGAAGTATCAGGTGAGAGTTACGCTGCAGTGTAGGTACAGCTGCTGTAGTAATACCTGTGTGTGCGTTGGTACGACTGGTATATGAGGACATTTCACTGGTATTCACACGCACCTTATGAAGACACCAGTGACTTGTGAGGACAGTGCCCGTGTCCTCACAAGTCAAACACTGTAGAAGCACTTAGGAAGTCGTAACAAACTCCCCCCCCTTAAATGTGTGTGTTAGGTGTGTGTGAGACGTCAGCAGGCGAGACGGGAGTTCCACCAGAAACAGAGACGACTGCTGCAGCTCCTTCCTCCTGGTACACACACACACACACTCACACACACACACACACACACACACTCGGAGGTGTTTCATAAGTCTTGTAAACGTGTGGAAAAGTTTTGTGTGCTTGCATTCAAATCTGTGAATTTGTTAAAAAATATTTGAAGAAATGAATTTTAGTTTTGAATCTGTGCAGAGATCTGTAGCTGGGCATGACATTTTGTGAACACATGAAAAAGATTTGCACAATCATGAAAATGTTTTGAAGTTACGCATCATATTTTCACAGGTACAAAACAGTAAACACAGAACTGAAGCTGTGTGTGTCAAAAATGTAAAATACATTTATAAAAATAAAAAACGTACTTCTGCCTTCAACATCCAGCAAGAAATGTTGGTTGGATGTCTACTTGTTATGGTGTTTGTCAGTCACAGTAAAAATGTTAATGATTTGACCTGAATGTAATTCTACTGTTTACAGTAACGTGGATTTCACAACAAATTTTCCTGTGTTCTGTCCTTTTTTTTTAATACAAAGTAATTTTAGTTTATGGGCCACATACTGTGCAGTTTGATCAGATGTTGGCCAATTAACCAATAAATAACACATTCCAAGTAAAACTAGCCGACATTCTTAAAGTATTAGCTGTTTATAAAACATCCATTTACAATATATAAAAAAGCCTGATAAGTATACTACAACCATCTTAAACCTCCCAGTGCAACGGCACCTCTGCAGCTCTGAAACCCCCTTAGTAGGGGCCCCACCCTTCTTCTGACGTTAGCTTGAATCTGATGCGCGCGAGGCAGCAGACTACGCTGTATTACAGGTGCATTTATTGTGCATACTGAACAGAATGCACAGAATCGCCACGTTTAAACTGTCTCTATCTTGTACACACAACTGTCTGTTTTGTTTTTGTCATGTATTTCACACTCCAAACTGACCACACACACACACACACACACACACACACACACCATCTATATGTGAAGCACATTTTCTGTTCTGTGCATTGGAGGCTCTATCTCCGCAACGGATTGGTCGATTTGAGTGATTGACACCTCGTTTGATTCGTTAGAGCCAATAGAATGACGTTATACCCAGTAAAACGAGATTGACAGCACTGTAAGCCAATCAGAGTCAGCAGAACGCCGTTGTGGGGGAGGTGCCGGTTTTTACCCCGGAACCTAAAGCCTGTCACATTCGCCCGGATTCATTTGAACAGAAAATTACAGAGAAATATTACAAATATATTTTGGTGAAAAGATTTCTGTTGTTGTTGTTCTTTGGCCTCTAGGTCTCTGATGGTTTGATTTAGCATTTGATCTCAGCATCCTGATTGGCTTTTCACAGGAACATGTCAAATGAAAGTCGAAACTACTTGTACTTGTAGATTTGATTTATACCTGAAGGTTGATCCGTAACTGTGGGACACACACAGCTTCAGTTCTGTTTTTATTCCATAGGTTTACATCACCTGACTCTGTGTGTGTGTGTGTGTGTGTGTGTGTGTGTGTGTGTGCAGACCAGGTGCAGTGTTACCTGCAGGAGTGTGAGCGCCGGGCGGCCGTGTTGATCCAGAGCTCCTGGAGAGGCTTCAGAGAGAGACGGCGCTACAACAACGACACACAGAGAGACACACACAGACGGCAGCAGGCCGCCAGGACGCTGCAGAGAGCGGTACACACACACACACACACACACACACAGTCACCTGGTCTGCAGATGACTGATGTCATCTCTCTGTTCCAGGTGCGTCACTTTCTACAGAAACGGCAAGCAGCAAAGGCCCCGCCCACCACGTCTTTCTGGATTGGTCAGAGCGGTTTGACAGACAGCCGGAGGGCGGAGCTAAAGAGACAGGTGGAGGAACACGTCCGTCTACATTCTGTAAGAAACCTTAATGTTTACTACCACAACATGACAACACACCGGCTGTGTGTCTGACACATTACCCATGATGCTCTGTGTGTGTGTGTAGTCGTCACGTGTGTCCCGTCAGGAGTGTGAGCGTCTCCACGAGGAGGTGCAGCTGCTGCTGCTGTCGGAGCTGCAGAGAGGAGAGCGTCGAGGGAGGGAGGAGCAGAGGGTGGAGGCTCTGCTGGCTCACACACACACACAGCTGGAGCTGCTCCGAGGTCTCACACACACACACACACACACACACACACACAGGAAGTTGTCTTCGTAACAGCAAACACTTCATTTTCTTCTTCATTAAACACAAACGTCTCCAGCTTCAATAAACTGTCTCTGTCTTTTACAGATGCCCCGCCCCTCTCGGTCGTCACGCCGACAGACGCCGACTCCTTCCTAAGCCCCTCGGGTCCCATCGCCGCCCGTGCCCGTGACGCCCACAATGTGGCACTGCAGGCCAGCAGGCTGCCCTGGTGGAGGACGCTGGGGGAGACGGCCGGCGCTGTGGACACATTCAGCCCCTCCCACCTGCAGGAGCTGGAGGCGGAGCTAGGGGGACTGTTTGTGGGCGGGGTCAGTGAGGTGGACGGACTGAACCTTTAACCTTTAAGTACTGATCTGTGCTGAGTGTCAGGTCGACCACGTGAGTCTAAATAAAGTCAAACTCTGATCTGTCACCTGCTCGCCGTACACTCCTTTATATTCACACTCATTCATGATGATGGTGGTGATGATGATGATGATGATGGTGGTGGAGCTTCAGCAGGTTTAGACCAACACAGAGGAAACGCCTCCTCTCTGTTCCAAACCAGTAAACAACAACATGTAAACAGCTGTTGGAGCTGTGATGACCTCACAGCAGGTTCCTGTGTAATGAGCGACATCACACAGCAGAGGGAGCGCTTGTTTTCCTCCTCTGTGCAGCCCTCATGGACCGTCCCTGTGTGAGTCGCTGCGTCCTGTGCTGTGACACCCTCAGTGTGTATCAGGACTCTTTGTCTCCAGGTAGAAAACACCTCCATGGTCTGTCACTTCCTGTGATGTCACACTAAGTTTTATCTCCACCATGTGTCAGTGCAGAGCTGTGTGTCGATCACACGTATTGATTATTGATCTGAGCTGCCGGGTCAGTACAGGCTCAGCAGATGTTACATAAGCAGCTGTCTGTCCTTCTGTCTGTTTGTCTGTTTGTTTGTCTGAGGGAAACAACTGCAAGAGAGCAGCGCTGGAGACGAGCAGGTAGGACATCTCTCTGTCTGTCCGTCCGTCTGTCCGTCCGTCTATCTGTGTGATACTCAACTACATACTGTGTTTAATGGTCCTGCTCTTAACTTCAGTACGTAAGGCTACTGTAACAAAATATCTGTCTTTAAACGTCATATTTTAGAGGAAATATGAGACTGTAAACTTGTGTATTTGTACGTGTTCTACTCTGACATCACAAGCACAGGTGTCCTTCATTACAACTCATGTCTGAAAGAGCAAAAATTCAATGCTTCACATTTATGAAACAACCTTTAACATCACCTTCGTTCAAATGAAAAACATTAAAATAAAAAAAAAAAAATAGGTAGCTAACTGCCAGCAGCTAACAGGTACCTGCTAACAGCTAAATATAGGTAAGATGTAACTACTAACAGCTAACTGCTTAAAGCTAACAGGTAACTGCTAACAACTAACTGCTAAAAGCTAACAGGTAACTGCTAAAAGCTAACAGGTAACTGCTTAAAGCTAACAGGTAACTGCTAACAACTAACTGCTTAAAGCTAACAGGTAACTGCTAACAGCTAACTGCTTAAAGCTAACAGGTAACTGCTAACAGCTAACTGCTTAAAGCCAACAGGTAACTGCTCCCAGCTAACGGGTAACTGCTAACAACTAACTGCTTAAAGCTAACAGGTAATTGCTAACAACTAACTGCTAAAAGCTAACAGGTAACTGCTAACAGCTAACTGCTTAAAGCTAACAGGTAACTGCTCCCAGCTAACACGTAACTGCTAACAACTACCTGCTAAAACCTAACAGGTAACTGCTCCCAGCTAACTGCTCACAGCTAACAGGTAACTGCTAACAGGTAACTGCTCCCAGCTAACTGCTAAAAGCTAACAGCTAACCGCTAACAGGTAACTGCTCACAGCTAACTGCTAAAAGCTAACAGGTAACTGCTAACAGCTAACTGCTAAAAGCTAACAGGTCACTGCTCACAGCTAACTGCTAAAAGCTAACAGCTAACTGCTAACAGGTAACTGCTCACAGCTTAAACAGCTCAAGTGCATTTCCTCATATTTGGCACAAACGTCACTGTGACTTCTCGAAACATGTTTTTGGCCATAACTCAAGAGTCCATGCTTTAAATTGGAGAAACTGGACATGATTCTCGTCTCCTCGTCTCGTTTTTATTGTTTCGTAGTGAATGTCGTATGTGACCAGACAATAAACTAGGTGGCGCTAAAAATCCTCTACAGGTCAAAGCCCTGCGTTCAAATCAAAATCATGTTTGTGTTATTATTTTATGTCTCATTTATTTAGAATATTATATCTTTGGTTTTCAGATAAATGAGATGTAGTAAAGTATGAGGCGGAGAATAAAGTAAGAGTACATGAGAGCTGCACTGGGAGGAGGGGTTGAGGTGAAAGAGTTAATCTGTGGAGGAATGTGTGCAGACTGTTTCACCTCCCCTCACTTCTCTCAGCTCACACTTCCTCCTCTCCGTCAGGACGACGTGACCTTAACATCCACCCACCATCCGTCGCCCGCAGAGATGCCAGGGACTCTCCCCAGGTTCCCCACCATGCCAGCTTTGCTCAGCTCTCTGCCCCGGGGCATTGACACACCCAGTCTACCCCGAGGCATCACCATGCCCAGTCTGCCCAGTTTACCCAGCATGCCCCGAGGCGTGACCGTACCCAGCCTGCCCAGGGGGATGTTGCTGCCGGGGGCTGTCGCCATGTCAACCGTGTCCCAGGCTCCCCGGAGGCTGCTGCAGGACTGCTGCTCTGTGCTGGACCATCAGACACCCGGAGGTACCACTGATATGGAAACCCGTCTTTGTTAGTGTGTCGGATCTCTTTCAAAGACCATAACTTTCAACTTTAATCTAAACCTGCACTATGTGTGTATAAAATTTTATGTATTTACATTATGTATTTAACATTCATAAAACCAAAAGTATCAACTCCAGTATTCATAGTAAAGGCTGTGGATTAAAGTAGTGAAGGAGGGAGTCAGCTGTTTAAATGGATTCAAAACCTCTAAAACTACGCCTTTTCCCGCCAAAACCATGAGTCCAGTTGTCAACATGAGGATACCACCAGAGAGAGGAGATTCCCCTAAATGCGTAGATGTCTTTTTTATGTTTGTAGTGTCAAAGATGTGATCATGGTCGCAGGTTAGAAATCTGGTGCCCCCAGCTGTTTTCCAGAAATTTCTCATCTCAGTTTACATAGGGGTGAATGAGGAAAAAAATTGGCGCTCCCTTCGCCTGGAGGCGCACTGAGCCGGATGTCTAAGCGTGAGTGATGCTATCATCACATGTCTGCGACCAGCACCAATTTGCCTCCATTTTGATGTATAAATTCTGTATGTAGAGTGAAAACTGTGACACTGAGAGCAAATTGTTCCAGAATTTTTAAGATCTTCCAGCCCCTTCACACTCTAGCACTCTAGCAATGATGTCACCACTCTAGCAATGATGTCACCACTTTAGCGATGATGTCACCACTCTTGCTCTCTCCCATAGACACTGAATCTGAAGCGTCTAAAAAACATCATGAAATACAAACTGCAATTTCTTAAAAACCAAACTAGATGTATATATATATAAAAAAAACTGATTCAGCCCGGTAAAGTTCAGAATCTCACAAGCTGTTTAAACTTTGATTTTTTTTACGTCAAACTATGGCGAGTTGTTGTGGAATACAACATAGCACAAGCCTATGGCATTTTACATTGTATAAATTAGCCTAGCTGCTAGCGGACTTTTCCTCCACTCATATGAAGCCAGGGACAACAGCAACATTTAACAAAGGTAACGTTACAAGTTTCGGCTCCATTACAGCTCACAAGGTTCACTGATAAAACAACTGTCTTTGTTTTCCAAACAAATACAACATGCTAACGTTATTAACACAAGCCTATGGCATATTTCCACTGAGGGATGTGGTTTCAGTTTACAAACATAGACAAGAAGTCTGCATCTGCTATGGCGTTGGAATACAACGTAGACTCTATGTCGAGGCAGAGGGGAAAAGTATTTCCTGTTATAGGGATGAATAACATTATGTGTATTCAGGGTTATTATGACCACCTTTGTTAAATAGTTAAATTTAAGATATCTCAAGAACACTTTGAGGGAATTTCTTCAAATTTGGCACAAATGTCCGCTTGGACTCAAGAATAAACTGATTACATTTTTGGTGGTCAAAGGTCAAGGTCAGCTTTCATCTGTGTCATTTTTGTGAATGCGATATCTCAAGAAAACAAATTTGGCACAAACGTCCACTTTGAATCAAGGATTAACTGAGTAGAATTTACAGTGAAGGTCACGGTGAACTTGTTTGTCTTATTCTTGTAAATAAGATATCTCAAGAACAGCTTAAGGGAAATTCTCCAAATTTGGCACAAATGTCCGCTTAGACTCAAGAATTAACTGATTACATTTTTGGTGGTCAGAAGTCAAGGTCAGCTTTCATCTGTCTCATTCTCATTTCCACTTTGAGTCGATGTCGCCAGGCTAATTTTTGCAATGTAGAATACCATAGGCTTGTGCTAATAACATTAGCATGTTGTATTTGTGGGGACAATGTGTCCAGATAAAGACAAGTGTCCTGTCTGTGTATGTTGTTAAAGTGAAGCTGAGTTGTGTGCTTGTGTTGTCTGGGTGTTTGTGCCACGTTGAGTACGACTGAAGCAGCTTCAGTCCTGCAGGTTTCTGATTTGTGTTTCTGCTGGAATGATAAATAAATCCAGAGCAGATTATCGAGCGCTGAGCTGCTGCACATGGCCTGGATCTCACTCACACACACACACACACACACACACACACACACACTGAACATTAATACTTCTCTGTTTTCAGTTTCAATAGTAACAAGCAGAAATAATCTTGAATCTCTTAAACATCGTTTATTCCAACATTTAATCAGAACATGGAGATGGACGGTTTTCAACTGACCGTGGATGTAAGGGGGCGGGGTCAGTGTGCAGAGGATTAACTACAACGTGTGTGTGTGTGTGTGATGGAGGTGACAGTGTGGATGTGAGCTGCAGGAGTCGTCTTCATGTACGGTGAGAAACATTCATATATATTGACTTAATATTTTTGTCATGATAAAAATATTTAGAGCTTAACGTTTAAAAACAGATTCATAACGTGTAGAACTCAACGTGTGTGCTTGACATGTGTTGTCATGTTTACTGATGTGACGCGTTTAAATATTAACATGCTGCTGGAAAAACGTCATGAATCCCTTCAGATAATATTATTTGACTTTTTACGATCGTTTTAATTAGATAAGTAATACACAGCGAAATATGTTAAACATTTAATGCAGAGAAAGCAAAGGACAAGTGTTGGTGGACAACTTGTGAGTGGGCGGATCTGTGTGGAGAGTGTGGCAGGAGAGGTGCACACTGGTACGTGTCATGTAACGCAACTTGACGTTACATTGATATAAATGGTGTCTTTGGACTGTGGGAGGAAGCCAGAGCACCTGGAGGAAACCCACACTGACACAGGGAGAACATGTCAGAGCACCTGGAGGAAACCCACGCTGACACAGGGAGAACATGTCAGAGCACCTGGAGGAAACCCACGCTGACACAGGGAGAACATGTCGTAGCGATGTTGGATACATGGATACAAAGTTAACAAAGGAACAACTCCTCGCCCAGTGTTCCAACATCTGCAAACTGCAACTGCTTACACAACTAGAGGTTGATGAGGTGCAAAATATGAACTATCCCCACTGGGACCAGTCAGCTGATGTTCACCACAGCAACAGAGATGCCACCATATATGGTGGTTTGCAATGTCACCTCACAGCAAGAGGGTTCCTGGTTCGAACCCAGGGTGGGGGGATCGTATAGTTGTCTGTCTCTATGTGTCAGTCCTGTGATAGTCTGGTGACCTTTCCAGGGTGAACCCCACCTTTCACCCAATGTCAGCTGGGATAGGCTCCACCCCCGACGATGCCCAACAGGGTAAGTTGTTATGGAAAATGACTGAATGAATGAATAAATCATGAAGAGGCCGCAAGGAAGTCAACTATAGCCACCACCTCCAGAGAGTAAGGCAAGTCCTGAGGAGTCAGCTGAATGGTCCAAACAAGGCCCACATGTACGCACTGCCAGTCATCAGATACCCAAATATATATA